TAATTATAAAAAAATATAATGATTATAATTATAAATTAAATTATAATTATTTTATAATTAAATAAATTTTAAAAATTTATATAGTGATAATCAAAAATAATATAATATTTAAATTTTTATTAATTATAATTAGTAATAAATTTAAGTGTTGCATTATTTTTAATTATTATTATATATAAAATTATAAATTATTATTTTTAATATAATATAAAATTAAAATTATTTATTAAAAAATTAAAATTTTTTATATAAAAGTTTTAAGTTTACTATATTTTATTAAAATTTTCTTTAATTTATTATAAATATATATAGTGACAATCAAAAAATAATGCAATGCTTAAATTTTTTATTAATTATAATTAGTAAAATATGTATTTTTTCTTATAAATAAAAGTTTTTAATTTTACTAACAAATATTTTTTATTTTTAGAATTAAGTAGAATAGATAGAGAAATTTATAGAATAAATAGAGTAATGAATAGAATAGATAAAGAAATTTATAGAGTAAATAGAAAATAGACAGAATCAATAGAGTAATTCATAGAATGAATAGGAATTACATAGAATAGTTATCTCAAAAAATAGCTAAAGTTCTCTATTTAACATATATTTTTTTAGAATTTTCAGATTTTTTACTGGCAACTTGTTCTAATTACATATGAAGTTAATTGATTTTTATTAATTAATAATTAGCAAAAATTAATTGACTTTATATGTAATTAGAACAAGTCACTGGTAAAAAATCTGAAAAATCTGAAAAAAATATGTTAAATTAGAGAACTTTAGCTATTTTTGGAGATAAAAATAAAAAATATTTGTTAATAAAATTATAAACTTTTATATTTAAGGAAAAATACATATTTTACTAATTATAATTAGTAAAAAAATTAAGTGTTGCATTATTTTTGATTGCCATCATATATATATAAAATAATAAAACTTATTTATAATATTAAATTATATAATATAATAAAAAATTTTATTAAATCTAAAATTCATTTTATGCTTGCAAAATATTCATTTACACTTCTTATTATATTTAAATTTATATAAATTACCTGATTTGATGGTTATAAATTCATTTGTTATTTATAAATATCATTTTCATCTTTGAATGATTTATTAATTAGAAATATCGAGAAACTGTACTATATATAGATTTTAATTCTTCCAGAATAATCATGATATTACTATTAATTCTGGCAAACACATTTTTTATTGTTTCATGATCTTAAATGAATCCATTATTAATAATGAATTTGGATTTTCCATTCCACTGGATATTTCATTATTTCATTAAATTCTCATTTATCTATCCATGCTTTTGCTAGAAATTCTGTGAGAGGATCTTTCAGAATAGTGCTATTTTCAATCATGTCGAAAAAATTGATATCTCATCCATATTTCTGATTTGAGACGAATCATATTCAAATTTCTGACAGTCTTTAATAATAAATTGTTGAAGAATGATTTTTTCATTAAGATCTCCAGGAAGTTTTTGTGAAATCTTTGTATGTCGACGCAATGTAATATCAGAAAATGGTAAACCCATTGCTGGGATGCTTTGAATTTTGATTCTGCATCCAGATATTCTTCTTTAAATTCATAAACCAAAAGTGATTGCATTTTAGTTTTGATCGCAAAAATGGGAACAGAAATTCCATTCCAATGTAATTCCAAAATCCACTCGTTTAGAGTTTTCTCAGAGAGTGTGGATGATTTCCAGTACCAACTTGACGATTATTTCCACTTGATGTCTTGAACTTAACTTCCTTTTTTTCCACTGAATTATCATTACGGCATACTTCAATATTTTAGACTTTTCTTCACAGAATAGGAGCTTCGAACTAAATAAAGCGAATTTGTATTAATGCGAATTTAAAAAATCTCTGGAGAAAAGAAGCGTATGAAGATGTATATAGTAAACTAACTAATTTTAAATAACCACATTAGTATCGGTATTATTTATCTACTCTGTTTTAACGTTCTCGTTGGATGCATTGCGTATCATCTATCACGTTGTTTTATTGCCATTGCCTGTCTCGCGTTGACTAATTACGGATCATTAAAAAGAAGGAAAAATAGAAAAACAAAATAAAAAAGAAAAGAAAACCATTTTCAGCATAAATTTATTCATCAATTACGCAAAAAAGTTTTTCTTTTTTTATTCGCATTTTTTTCGCATACTTTTTTTTAATGACACACAATTAGTCAACACGAGACAATGAAACGGACAACACGACACGACAGACGAATCGAAACACGCAAACAAGTCACGTGAAACGCGGCACACCTAACGATAAAAATGGTGAACATTAAATGTCGAAACACATTTTAGTTGGGCTGGCTAGACGAAACAAAAAGTCATGCTGGTATTCTATTACCGGCTTGAAACAGAGATTCTGTTAAAATTACATTTTCAGGAGAATTTAAGCACCACCTTAAAATTCGCCAAAATTAGGCTCCAAAAAGTGGTGCTTATTTTCGGGACAATACTATATTTTTTTTATTGCATGTGAAAGATCAGATGATTTTACGATTAAAGTGCATTTATCGTTATTCTTTGCAGGCCACTGTAATAAAATGAAAACAAAGCGATAGTTACACAGATTAACGATAACATGCCGATACTCTTTTAAATCTACTACAAATGGACGAGTCTCAAAATTCTAAAAATCCAGCTAAAATAACTGAACCCAAAGAACTCGCCAACAAATTACTTGCCATATTTAATAAAGGGAACGCTGATTTCCTTTCAGATGAAGAGATCTTAACAATCATTAAAGAATGGATAAGCAATAATGAATATGACGTCGTGGAAGTATTTAATTCGGTAAATAATCTTGATCCACCAGACTTATATAACGTACTTGGGTTATTCAATCATTACGGGATTGGCACAGAACCCGACGAAGCAAGGGCATTTACTTTATTCACAAAATCAGCCGCAATGAATAACACTGTCGGATTTAATGAAGTCGCCTGGTGCTATGAAGCAGGAATTGGCACACCAAGAGATATAAACAAAGCAATCGAATATTATAAGAAAGCAGCGGATGCTGGCGATGCTGCGAGTATGTATTTTCTTGGAAATTGTTATGAGGAAATTTATCACGAAAGTAACGATATCGTATATGGCAAGAAAGCTTTTGAGCATTATCGAAAAGCTATCATGGGTGGATATCCCGCAGAATCTGATATTGCTTATTCTTATGAGGAGGGAATTGGCGTGAAGAAGGATAAAAATAAAGTTTTTTATTGGTATTCAACGTCGGCGAGACGTTGTGAACCTAATGGACAATATTCTGCTGGGTTGTGCTATCTTGAAGGGTATGGGATAAATAAGGATATGCATAAGGCTATAAAATGGCTTTGTAAAGCTCATATGAATAAAGACGAAGATTCGACGATTTGTTTAAGAGATATCTTTAGAATTTAAAGTATTAAAATATCGAAATTGAATTTTAATTTGTTCATTTTCGATGAAACTGATAAAATTTTTGATAGAATAAGTCTGAAACCGCAAAGAAATTCGTCCGAGGTTTTACGACATGCCCTTTATTTATTTGTTTTTATGTATTTCTCCTGCTTTTTGTTTATACCACAACTCAACGAAATGAGTCCCAATTTAATTCGCATATTATATTTTAAACGAATGCAATTCTGTTTTTATAATTATAACTTTAATTATAGATTCTTATTATGTTTCTACCGTGAAAGAGATATTTCAAATATTTCTTAATAAAAGTATGATTAGCTGATACATGTACTTGGAATTGCAATTTACCGAAATAGTTTTTTAGAAGGGGATATTTTCAAGCTATTTCTAAGTCCTGATAGTATTGGTGTATGACAGTAAATTCTTGCAGTGGCTGTTTTTAAATGTGTACTGCAATCATTTTTTTCACAAATACTACCAAAGAATTATTTCATTTTGAACGAGAGTCGCTATAATTTTATGACCTTGTTCACTAAACAGTTTTTTGCATCTTTGTAAATCAACTTCGGCATTGATGTTTAGTTTAAACTATTATAGGGACAATTGCTTCTAAAATGCAGTATTGAGTTACAATCGAAACACTTTGGAGTTTCATAAATCGTCGCTTGAAATCCGTAATTTTCTATGTCTTTCTCCCATTTCGCTTGAAAGTGTTTGTATATATTCATTGTTGCTGTGGCGTCTTCAATAGAGTCATGTTCACCAGATTGAATGTCTATATCGAGAAATTTTTTTGCTAGCGTTTTCAAAGACGGTACCTTGTTTTTTGGAAGCTTATTTCGAATGCCTCCGTAAATGGATATATCACGCGTCAATTCGGGTAGATGGGGGAGTTGTAATGCCTATAATTTATTAAGAGACATTTGTTAATTAGTTCGAATAAAATAAATATACAGTGCGAAAATTAAACCCGATTTTTACACTAAAATCTAAATGGATAGAATGACCAACGACAATTTTGTCTTTGATAATCTCGGAGACTTTTCCTTGCACATCTTTTAGCGAGCTCGCTAAAAATAATTATCGTTAGCGTTTATTGATGAAGTTATTAAGAAGAAAAAAAGAACAATCTTTGATTTGAATTTTAATCTCACCATTTATCAGCGAGTCTTTGGTAATTCCACTATATTCTGTACGATAATCCGTAATAGGTTGTTCAGGTTTTACATACTCATCTAAAACGCGATTGCACTCGAAATCAACTATGCTCACCCGAGCGAGCGCTGATTCTATGCCCCTTTCACCAATGCCAACCATTTCACAATCTAAAGCCAGATATTTACTGTCGGTTGATGAAATAGTATTTGTTGGCATGATAATTGAATCAGGTACTTTTAACGAAAAGTCTTTAATTAAAATGTTTCGTTCCGTTCTGACATACTTCAATTTTTATAGAAGATCTTTCATTTAATTCTTTCCATTTTTTGTTTGTGCATGCAAGGCACCGAATCTTCTTTGTCTTTTCGTCTTTTATATCTATGAATGCATTTATTTATCTTTTATTCACGCATTGATCGGGCATCCCCTGATTTATCGTTATCGTTATGCATTGAACAGTATTAATGGGATGCTGTACAAAAAAACGATAAAATTTTTAAAGAAAATACTATATTTACTAAAAAGCTAAGCATATTCTATTCAAGAAATAATAAGTTTCTTGACATGAGCTTTATGTTATAATGAGATTTAATTATCATTGTTTAAAATTTGTTTATTGTTCTTTAAAGAAATATATGACATCGCCATAATGTAATTGAAATTATTAAAGTACAAAAGTGGGCACAACCGAATGAAGCTCGCATACAATGTACTATATATATCATTATCATTATTGTAATTTACTGGGATTTGCAACACATTATCGTTTTACATATTGCATTTATAGTTCAACGATTTTGGAATTCGCAAAGCTACTCCATGTATTATTATCCTGTTTCGAAACAAGAAACCAATAAAAATTTATCGTGAAAACAGACAGTAATATCGTTATTTAAATAATAAAAGGACGAATTGAAAATATTTTTATCATAAGTGTACTCCCTATTTTGAAAAATGGATTGATGAAGTTGATGCCGTATATTCTATAAGTTAATAAAGTGCTTTACATTTCTTTTCATGGTTATATACATTTTCTACAATTTTCTAATTTAAGAGCGAACAAGATTTCATTTTTGGACAACTTCTTCGTTAACGATATCGAAAGTGAATCAGGACTAGTTTTTTTCTTGATGAACCTCTAGAGAATTCCGGATTTCATCACAGTTTGTTCAAGCTATTTTCTCAAATTTCAACGAATTCTTAGAATTAGGAAATCAGGAATTTTTCTGATAGTTCACCAAAAAGCATTAGCGTTAGTGTACCAATCCTTCTCTATCTACGGAGTTTGTTTGTCTGCTTTGAAATTTCTGTTAAATTTCTGAATGATAACTGTTTTCTTAAATTGATGCAAGTTGAATGGCAATATTACATAAATTGATTTGTGTTATCGTTATGTTTAGTGAGAAATTATCGGATGATAGAACTTATATATTTAAATCAATGATAGTGCAAATGAAAAATCTGAGTGATACAGGCGGCGTAAATACTGTTACCAATTACATGTACATGTTTGTAGAACCTTCGTTGCTCGTCTAAACCAGAAAATGCAAGCCATCTGGCGCAAAACTCGCATTTATATGGAAGCCAGGACATGTATCCTGTTCCAAGAGCATGCATTTACGCGAAATATTCTTAAAAAATAGAAAAATTTTCGGAGTCCAGCTTTCTTGTTTTTTTATGTTAGATTAAGCTAATATTTGAGATTAATGTTCCTCATGTATTAAAGGTTTTAAATTTACATTCACTAAGTAAAACTAATAACAAATATATTATATATAATTGCTATTCAATTCAGCTCGAACCAGTTACATCAGATTAGAACGGACGAAAAAGTAGTTTCAAAAAAGTCGAATTCCTCGTCATAATCATTTTCTTGAAAATTTTCTGCATGAAAGGTGAAGAATTTGAATATTAAAGATAATAACTTTGTTGGTGAAGATTGTTTATTACATTCGTCGCCGCCATCGTTGACACTGTTGACAGAATGATTATTAATTGTTAATGATGCATTGTTATTATTATCTGAAACTGTTGTTTTTGGACTGAACGAAATGCCGTAGGAAAAGTTTTCTATTCTTTTTGGGAAATTCATCGTTTGATGAAAATTGAAAATAATATAGGGAATGTTTTTCACAAAAAAAGATGAAAATTCATTAACATTAATTATATAATGACATAAATAATTGACGTTTAATACGTGTAGTATTGTCATCTGTTGTTTGTATGCTATGAGATGTACATAGCCGAAAACCCTTTTTTTTTATCCTATTGGTTTGGCGTCAATATTTTTAACTGATGGTACTTGACATGCTTGATCACCGTAAATTATTAATTACCTGTAATAAAGCATAAAGCAGAGTGGATACATACTTCATATGTGTATTCCGTTAAACGGAGAGATGGTATTTAAATTCATTGGCAAGTTATCAATGAGTCTATTTAATTTGCAGCAGGAATATTTCAATTCATGTATTATCCCGTCCGGAATGAGCCAATAATAATATTTAAACTTGAAAAAATAAATTCCCACGTTTGTTTATTTTCGGGTGTACCTTTGGAGTATATCCACAACAACTTAGTGAAACGAGAAGTCTGAATTAACAGACAAATTACAGTAAATGTACTCGAGTACAGATGGTTTTGTAACATTTAGTCTTTTAAAAACTAGAAAAAGAAAAAATTGCCACGTAAATACATTAACCTGAATACATAAATGATGAATAAATTCTCTGTTATTTACTTTTTTTAATGTCCTAAGGGGGCTTACGGATCCTGGATAGCGTAACTTCCGGTACTCGAATAGGACCATGTTAAAAATGTGGCACTAAAAAAGTTATATTCATCTGTATACTCATTCTTATTATTATTATTACTGTCCATTCCCATATCTTTCAATTCACGAGCAATATATTTTATAATTTTCGATAAAAGACTTTGCTTTTGAATAGGAGTAGCAAGGTCGCCGTCCTCTATGATTGGCCGTTCATTTAGCATCAACCACTCAGAAAATAGCTCGTCGTCATTTTTTGGACGTCGTTCAGCAGTCAATGTTTCATCTTCTTTTATTACTTGTTTCTGTTTCAAATCTTTTGAGTCAATAATAATCGTATAATTTTCATTATTTTTACTTTTATTTGACATCGGAAATGACAAAATAATTATGTAGATATACGTATCGTTGACTTACACACATACGAGATTTATATATGAATAAGAGTTTCTATTTATAAACACACGACCTGTCTGCTTATTGAACATGTTGGGTGTATTTGTATTTATTGTGGTTTTTTCTAGTTGGAACGAGAAATTTTGGCCTTTTTAGGATGCTCATTTACAGGTTAGAGAATTTCAATAGATGTAAAGTATGTTCAAATAGAGTTTAGATTACATGTACGAGTAATATTTACCTCATTTAATAATAACGATAATGATAATGTTATCTTTATCATGAAGTTGTACATGTACTATCTATCTCATTAAACACTTGATGAAAATGTTATAGAAAACTTCTGTTTTCAAAAACAATAATTAAAAAATCAGGTTCTTATTATCTAATCGGAATTCTCTCAAAAAATTGTAATCGCTTGAACACACTATCTATAATAGATATATTAAAAATATACTATTTAATATAAAAATCTATCTACAGTATAACAATTAAAATCCGGCACTTTGGGATTTAATAATGCCTTGAGTTATCGGTTAAGTACATCGCTAGTTCAATCTAATTGAAAGGTCCCCTCACTTTGTTTTGTTATCTCAAAAAAGCTTGTCAGTGGAATAGGTTTCTGGTTACAAGTCATACTCCCGTGATTGAAATCCCGAACAAACGACATCTTGAAATCGTGATAATTTTGGTATTCCATGCATTTGGGATGTTTATAAATTCGGGATACCGTTCTTTCGGAATTTCGTTCATTCATTATAATGGATTCACACACATGTAATTACACATGCATTTCAGGAATACATGTATATACATGTACATGTACATTTTTATATAGTGAACTGATCTCAAAGATGGAATATTCACACGTAGAATTGAATCACTACCACATATATGTACATGTAATTGTACATATATAACAATTACATGGATCTTGTTTCTTCAAGTATACATGTACATACATTTTATATAGTGAACTCAAAGATGGAATCGATTTGTTGTAAATGTATTGACATTAAAAGATAGTGAGCTCACAATACTTATCAATGTTACTATTATCAAAGAAATGGGGAGCTGCTCTGAATGTTTCAAATATTACAAACAAATTTATAATGATGCAAAAAGGTTTGAAATAAATTATAATTCAAATTACTCCAGAGTTCATAAACAAAATAAAAAATACTTCAAAGTTTATAAATAGGATAAAAATTAAATTATTCCAGAGTTACATATGAGATAAAATAAATATTTTCTAAAATGAAAGTTGCTTTTTGTTTTCTGATAAAATCAAAAATTTCAAAAGTAAATTCAGATTTCTCTTAAATTCATTAATTCATTTATGAAAAATTGACTTGTAATCAAAATTAAAAATTCAGAGAAACTATATCAAATATTAAGTATTCAAGGATAGAAATATGATATCACATAACAATATTAAACAGACAAGAATTACCTGACTAATATGTACATCCAAAATAAACTGAAAAACTGGAATTACATAATAGTAAATAAATAACTCATTATTAGAAAATTTTTTTGTCATTATGCTTTGAAAATAAAGAAAGATATGGTCTTACAATCCTAATAAAAGCAGTAAAGAAATATTCAATAAGTATATTACTTTGACCAGAGTAAAAAAAATATATATATATCTTTTTTATTTTTAATATAATTAATATTAATAAACAAAGTTTTCTTCAAGATTTTTTAAAAGATAGCAATATAATTAAAGTTTGAATTGAAATTAAATTTAAATATAATTAAAGAAATATTTTTCCTGAAATCAAAGAATATAAATTGATCAAGCTATTATTTAGGAGTTAATTTTTCAAGAAATTTAAATTAAAGAAAAATTAATATTGAAAATTTTATTAATTCTAATAAATAATTATAATTTCATAATTTTAAACTATATTATAAAAAATTTTTCAAATAATATTTTTAAAACTAAAATCAAGTTAAATCTTATTTATTATCTAGTAATTAAAAGAAAAATTAAAAGAATATTAGTATTATAATAAATCATATATAATTAAAGAAAATTTATTTATTTATAAATTTAAAATATAAGTTATACTTTAAAAAAATGAGAAGATATTTTTTAGCTTGATATTAATAAAATAATAAGAATTATATTTAAAAAGATAATTATTTAATATTAAAATATATAAAATTATTAAAATATTTTTTTTATAAATAAATAATATAAAAGATTATGATATTAAAATTTTTTAATATTCAAACTTATTATCTTTTTATATTTTATTTTAAATATATTTTAAATTTATATATTTAATTATTTTAGAACTTTTATATTATAGCTTTTTATTTTTTTAGTATTATTAATATAATTTTATTAAATTTTTATTTTATATATAAATTTAGATTATTATTATAAATATAAATTAAAAATAAAATATTTTATATTTTTATTTCTTACTATTTTATTAAATATTAATAAATTTCTTTACTATTTGAAATTTCATAACTAAGATTATTATTTAGAATATTTAATAATTTTATAATATAATAATTATAAATAATATAATAAAAAATTTATTAAATTAAAATTTTTTATAAAAATTAGAAGATAATTTTAATAATTTTATTAAAATAATATATTTTATATATTAAATCTTAATAATTATCAAAATATAATTATAATTATATAAATATTATATAAAAGTTAACTTTATAAGATAATTAAAAATAATAATTTTTTAATAATTTTTATATTAATAAAAAATAATATAAATAATATTCTTTTAAAATATAGTAAAATCTAATTATTTATTTATTATAAATAAATTAATAAAAAATATTAATTTTATTATTTTTCTAAATAAAAAAAAATATTAATATTTTAATATATATTATTTATTATATAGTAATGACTAAAAGCAATAACTCAGAGCTAAATTTACTAATAAAATATAATGAAAATTGAAATTTTCTCTCTATATTAAAATTTATAATTTTAATAAGAAATAA